CCTGCTCCCTGGTCTCCTCCTCCCATGCACGACTGCAGGACTTCTCCAGGTCCTCCCCCATCCTCTGGAACTCACTGCCCCAATCCATCAGACTGTCGCCTTCCCTATTCACATTCAGGCGCTCCCTCAAAACCCATCTCTTCAGGGAAGCCTACCCCACCCTCACCTAACGGCCATCCTCCCTCATTCCTCCCACCACTTCATCCCCCTCAGCCACTTCCTACTGTACCTTTACCCCCTCCCTCCTAGATTGTAAGCTCGTAAGAGTAGGGCCCTCTTACCCCTCGTACGTTGTTTGTTTGGTGTACTGTGCCATGTATTGTCCCCCCTATTGTACAGCGCTGAGCAAACCCTTTGGCGCTATATAAACTCGTAGTAATAATAATAATAATAATAATAATAATCTCCCGCTGCTTGTAAAAGCAATCCTGCAGCTAATTAGCCACTAGGATTGCTTTTATATGAAAGCCGATCGCCAGCTGAAACAAAATTATACCAGGATGATGCCTGCAGCTGTAGGCATCATCCTGGTATACCCATTTAAAGTCCAGTGATATACCAGTACATCACTGATCCTTGTTGGGTATATATGCTATGTTCTTTTTTTTGTATGCAGCCTGTGGACTGAATGAAAAAAAGAGAAGAAATCTCTGCCAGAAAAAGTGTGTGGTATACCCACCATTAGAATATACTGCCCTGCATCCACCCACTTTTAATGGTGGGCACACATTAGGTCACACTTTGCCACATGCGCCAGTTCCAAGATTGAACAAATGTCTAAACAGTGGCACGCTTGAATAAAAATTGTCCACGTATAAGTGGTACCCCATATGGAAAAAGGATGATACCAAGTCCCAAACGATCTTGTCACTACTCCCCATGTAGTCTGGGCATCCAGTATAACGGGAGACAATACAGCAACAATACAGTTAAATACAAGAGGGTTAGGAGGGCCCTGATCCTGGGAGCTTACAATCTAAGAGGTATGTGAAAGACCAGGATGTACTAGACCGCTGGTGTCACCAGTTCACCAAAAGGTAGCGGGGCACTAGTACTGACTACTCTGCTGCATATGAGAGTCCTCAAAATTTACTGACAAGTGCTAACAGAGATCAGGCCTGATTCTGCGAACACTGCGGTTTTGTGTGCAATGTATCAAGTGACAGTGACCTACTGACACTGCACTTGCTGGGGGAGAAGGGGGGGGGGGGGGGGGTAAGCATAGGGGCTAAACGAAGGTGCTGGCAGGTGCCGAGGCTGATCCCGCTAACGCTGCATTTTTGGGGATGCTATACTAATGTGAACGCTGGTATAGTACTGATCTGATCAAAGATATCCGTTCAGACACTATACTAGCAATGGAGGTTTATTGTGCATGAGCGTGTTTCTGGCAGTCAAGGGGTTAAATGTGATGACTGGTGTACTGATGGGCAATCTGACGCCATCTGGGAGGGGCGTGAAAACCACGGGAGCACAAAGCACAAAGCATATATATATATATATATATATATATATATATATATATTTATATATATATATATATATATATACCTATAATTTTGTGCACCTGTGCCGCCCTGTATCAGTATTTCTGCTATAGGGCGGTCAGGAAGCGGTTACAGAAGCGGTTTGTCTTACGGCGCTGCGTTACTTTAACTGACAATTGCGCGGTCATGCAACACTTCACCCAAATTAAACGTACGTCCTTTTTTTTCCCACGAATTGAGCTTTCTTTTGGTGGTATTTGATTGCCTGTGCGGTTTTTTTTTTTTTTTTTTTAAAAAAGAAAAGGCTGACAATTTTGAGAAAAAAAACATATTTTGGACTTTTTGCTATAAAGCATGTCCAGTAAAAAAATTTAAAAATCAAATTTTGTTATAAATTTTGGCCAAAATGTATTCTGCGACATGTCTTTGCTATAAAAAAAAATCCTAATTGGTTTACGCGAAAGTTATAACGTCTACAAATGGCGGGAAAGATACTGGGATTTTTTTTTCTATAATAATAATGGCAGCGATCAGCGACTTATGTCGGTACTGCAGGACTGCGGTGGACATTTTGACACTGGGGGGGAACTGACTTGGGGCCATTGATATCCCCAGAGACACCAATACAGTGATCAATGAAAAAAAAAAACCCACTGACACTGTACTAATGGCACTGGGGAGGAAGGGGTTAACATTTTTATTCAATAAAAGGGTTAACTGTGTGAGGGGAGTGTTTTACTAGTGAACGGGGGGGGGGGGGGGGGGGGTGTACTTCACAGGAACACACTGATCCAGATAGCTAAACTCCGCTCTCAGGATCAGTGTGTTAGGAACTGACAGGGAGCAGAGCTGCAGCTCTGCTCCCTGTCAGTGATTGCCGGTAATCGCCGGGACTCGGTGATTGACAGCCGTGGCCACGATTGGCGGTGCTGGTATGGCGGATGCACGCGCCCACTACCTGTTTTTCAAAATGACAAGGGATAATATTTACTATTATTCTGTTGTGCCCCTTGTGCTGCCAGCTCCTGCCTCCCTTGAAATCTTTATTCTCTGATCCCCACCTACCCTAGCTTCCATAATCTTTCAGTGTGCCAAGGGTGACAGGCAGTCATCAAGAGTGTCCCATTATGGGCTTCCTTTCCGCCAAAATTTTATTTATTAAGGTACTTATATAGCGCCAATAATTTACGCAGCACTTTATATATATATATATATATATATATATATATATTATATATATATATATATATGTTACATTCACATCAGTCCCTAACCCTTAAGAAGCAAACAATCTAAGGTCCCTAATTTACATTCATGCATATACATACTAGGTCCAATTTAGATAGGAGCCAATTAACCTACCAGCATGTCTTTGGAGTGTGGGAGGAAACCGGAGTACCTAGAGGAAACCCACGCAGGCACAGAGAACATGCAAAAATTTTCCACAGGGAAAAATAGGCAAATGCTTTATCCTCTTGTTTACTCAGAATAAACTAAAACATCGCCTATACAAGCTCCAACCAATATAAATTTGTGGCAAAGAAGATTTCCAGGTTTGGCTATATTATACATAGTTACATTGGTTCAGCTTGGAAAAATGAAACCATGTACATTATATACTATGCCTGGACGACTGCCCTGGAAGATGTAGACACCGCTACATTAGTGATCTCCACTTGCTTCTGGGTCCTGTGCAGAACAGCCACCCTGATGCATTGTGAACAAGGGAAGTCAGCTGCTCAGCACGGCGCCATTCAAAAAATGCTTTGTATTTTCAGAATGAACGCAAAACATTTTCTAATTGGATGAAGTGGAGCGCGTGATGCAATCGCCCTGCCTCACCACTCCAGGATTCTCCATAAAGCGCTCATGCTGAGCAATTGACCTGTGTTTAGTAAGCAGGAGTGAAGCCATTCAGTGGTCTCTAATTCAGTGAATATCAGCTTCCAAGGGCATTGGTCAGGTATGCGATATGCAACAGGGTAGATTTACTAAAGGCAAAAATACTGTTCACTGCAAGTGCAGTTGGTCTAGATGTGAGGGGAAGCTCTGAAATTAAGGGAAGCTCTGCTGACTTCTATCATCCAATCATGTGCATGCAAAAATGCTGTTTTTTTAATGTTCCTTGCATGTGATTGTGTATTCTTTGCAAAGTGAAGCTTTACCTCATTTACTAAGCTCTGCAGCAAACTGCACTTGCAGTGCACAGTATATTTGAATTTAGTAAATCAACCCCATAGTTACACTGGTTTATGATGGACCAATGTAACTACGTATAGTATAGTTATGCCTTGAATAATCCTTTAACCCCACTTTCCCTCCACTCATGACACATACAGTAGGATTAATTACCTTAGAATCTCATTAAAGGCTACGTCTGCTTTTTGCAAAAAATGTGTAACGTGGTCTAAAAGTTAGTTAACCTTTTTTCTATTCAGCTGGACCACAAGTGTGTCCACAGAGTCTCCAGGATATGGCTCGACCATTTCTTTAATTTTTTCATTAACAGGTTCTTACAATTTACTACTTGGTTACTGAAATACCATTTTAAAAATAGGGACCCCTTTTGGTCAGTAAACCAGGATCTTCACTCAAAAGGAAAGAAAGTTTCGGCCTTTTTTTTTTCTCTCCATGGCAAAAGCATTATTCCTAGACACTGAAAGTCTTCCATGCTTTTGGGATGTTTGTCATCTTAGGTGCATGGAACAATTTTTGGACCAATTGCATGATAGACAAGACAGATATTAACACTATGGGGAGCTAATGAGGTTTCTCCATGGACTTGTCCCTATTATTACCTTATATTTCTCCAACCTTTATTTTTCTTCTTCCTTTTCCTCCATCGCCTTTTTGAGGGAATTAGAATGCATACCCCCAGTGAATTTGTAGCATGCCACCTATTAGATGATCCAATTTGACAATCCTAGATGTTAAAGGAAAGCCTTAGTGGCTGTCGGGTTGTAGTTCTCAATTAACTACCAAAGCGTTCTGAAACACATTAAAAAGTGAAATATGGCTAAAGCTTTTTTGGCCCTACTTCTATAGATCACAGTTGTGCAGTTCGTTCTGCACTCCTTTGGCCCATTGTAAACTGATATTACGGTTCAGGAAAGATCCTGACTTTAAATTCAGGATCCACCCAGATGCCTGAACCTGCAGCTGGCTCAGCCTCTCTGCGAGATGCAGGGAGCCTGAGCCAGACACTTCTGTTCCCTGCATAGCCTGGCCCTCCAGGGAGCGCTGAAGGAGCAGAGCAGAGAGCCTGTGATAGACTGTCTCCGATTCTCTGCTGGCTGAAGACCGATAAGTGAGCTATAAGCTTTGTTTAATTGCTCAGTTCTCGGTCTTAGAGGCGGCAGCTGCAGCAGGGATTGTTGCTACAGCCATCTAAGTGAGTATGATTGATTTTTTTTATTCCCATACTTCTCTTAACTGTCAAGCAAGAATGGAAGGAGAATATTGTAACCTTACAAAAATAACAATACTTTTTAAGTAATGGCCAAGACTTGGTACCTTAAAAAATAATATGGATATTCTCTCCCAGTGGGTCCACATTCTGGAAAGTAAGTTTCAATGGTACAGCATTTGAATTGAAGTGTGAGCAGGCCTGAGAACAAAAAGACAGCATTTTAGAAAATGTTTTAAAGGTTCAGTCCACAAACAAGTTATATTTTAACACCTGAAGCTGCTAGTGAATCCTATCATGTGCCGGTTTCTTTTACCTCTTGGTTACTCTGGTGGCACATACTCTTGAAAATGGCAGCATTGTCCACTTATTTTTGGTTGATCATCCCAATAAAATTATATATATATATATATATATATATATATATATATATATATATATATATAGGCAGCATAGCAGCTAAATTGTTAGCACTTTTGCCTGACAGCACTAGGGTCGCTGGTTTGAATCTTGAGCACAGCACTACCTGCCTAAAGTTTGCATGTTCTCCCTGTGACTGTGTGCATTTCCTACAGATACTCCGGTTTCCCCCATACTCCAAAGGCATGCTAGTAGCTTATATTGGTCCTATGATGTGTATGTATAAATGGGAGTAAGGGACCTTAGATTGTAAGCTCCTTAAGTGCAGGGAATGATCTGAATGTAATGTTTTGTGGTATATTCCAAGGAATGGATTTTACGGTCTAGTACAAAATTCTATTTTCTTTTTTAATCTCTTCTTTAGTTGTACAGTGAAGGACACAGGTACTTTAGTTATTAACCATGGGACTTTAAAAGCGGTTAAACTGAGGGGTGGGTAGCACATCCAACAAAATGCTAATGGAATCATATAATATATGGGTCAAGAAGGGCTTAACAGAGCTCAGAGAGCAGTGTGTAGCAGCTTATCAAAACTGGAATCAGAAGAAGCCAATGTATGTTATCTTCCTCTTCAACTACAGCATTTCTTCCGTCAAGGCTGGGCATAATCAAGGAAGGAATACCCTGGTTGAAGTGGAAGCAGAAAACCACCTTTGGGCAAAATGAGACTTTAGGCCTTAGGGCAACTTTGTCCTTGTGTAACACTAGTGAAGGCTTTTTACAGGATAAGACCACTAACTAACACAATGGTGATATAAATGACACATGAAACTTTGAAAGTGAGATCAGATAAGGGAATATCCCTAATAGGTTCAAACAGTGGCATCTGAAGTAGCAAAAGAACCAGGTAAATGCCCAACAAAATTACAGAGGAACATACAGGGGGAGAAATGTGTGCAACTTTCAGATGATTGGACAAAAATGGAAAGCTAGGGACATCCCCTATACAACTTCTCCCACTCCTAGCTAGCCTTAGTTTGATATCAAGTACTAGATAGATTATAAAGAACAGGTGGAAGGGACCTGTGTTTTGTGCTATGTTCCAAAGAAAGCATTTTACTCTCTAGTCAAATATCTAATTGCCTAAATAGGCTGTAGCTGTAGCTGAGAGGTAGATTCTCATCAAGTACCACGTCAAAATAAAGTTTCCGGACTGGACACAATAAAGGAAGGCTTTTCACAGGATAAGGCCACTAACTCACAGGCCTTTGGCACAGTGGTGACATACAAGATATAAGGAAACCAGAGAAGGGAATATCCCTTATAGGTTCCAAGGGTCGCGTCTGAAGGGGCAAAAGAACCAGGTGAAGGCGCCACAGAGTTACAGGGAACATACACCATGGGGTTTATTTACTAAAGCTGGAGAGTCCAAAATCAGACTCCCTTCTGCATAGAAACCAATCAGCTTCCAGGTTTCATTGCCAAAGCTTCATTGAACAAGCTGAGGTTAGAAGCTGATTGGTTTCTATGCAGAAGGGAGTCTGATTTTGGACTCTCCAGCTTTAGTAAATAAACCCCCATGTGTCCAACACCCTGAACAAAGGCCTTAAAGCAGACCTTCACCCTCCTGCAGCACTCTCCTCATCTCCATCCTGCCAATACCCCCCGGCCCCCCACTCCGCAGCACAGATACCTTTTTTTTATCCTGTCCTTGCTAAAAGCTGAGGCTTACCGCCGATCTTCCAGCATTCGCCTAGGCGAATGACGCCGATGTCCCGGTGCCTCCTGGAATGCATGAAATTGCAGTCCCATTCAGTAAGGAAGATGGAGTGGGCATAGTGGCACCTGCACCCAGAAGAGCCATCAGCTGTCAGGGGGCAACATGGCGGCACCAGACCTGTGCAGCGGATTCAGAGAGGTGGATTCCAGCAGGTCAACACTGGATCCGCTGGCTAGGTGAGTAACCATACTCTGCAGAACGCAGTATCAAGTAGGCAGGGGAAAACAAATATTAGAAGTGAAGGAAAGGCTGACATTCCTCTAACTAAAGAATAAGAGGCCAATGATCTCAAACAAAATGGCAAAGCCTGAGGTTTACTCCTTGAAGGATTTCAAGGCCCAATGCTGAGCTAAACCAGACTGGAGGAAAAACAGAATATAACCCACTGATATTTCCTAGGATGAAATTTTCAGGTCTCCCACCGCAAAAAATAGACCTTCCACATGTAAAAATAGACTGTGTGAGTAGTTCACTTCTTTGCCTTTCTTTGTCAAGAGAGTAGTAATAATAACCGAATCAGATAGGCCCCATCATTTGAAACCTGGGTTTCAACAGCCATGACGGTAAAGCCACCAACCGAGAAGCAGGAAGGAAGACCAACCCTTGTACCAAAAGGTCCAGAAGCACCCATGCCCATGTGCCAGAATCTGAGTATGTCCAAGTACTATGTCCTCCGGGGTCTGTTTGGTCCAATAAGAATCACTGGAATGCCCTCTATCTCAAGCCTTTGGAGCAGGCAAGGGATAAGCTGGAGAGGAGAAAACACATAGATTAGGTAAAACTGATCCCAAGGAGTCACCAGAGCATCCACTGAAAAGGCCCAAGGGTCCCTGGACCTGGCAACAAACATGTTAAATGTTTTGTTAAATCTGAACGCCAGAAGATCAATATCCTGTGTCCCTCACCTTCAGCAAAGGGCTTGGAACACCTTGGAGTGGAGAGCCCAAGGCCATTCCCCAGATTCAGATTAAGTCCTTTTCCTTTTAAGCAGCACAACTTGTGCGCCTCTGTTAGCTGAAGTAGGTCACAGCTATGGCATTATCTGACTGAATTCCTATGGGGCGACCTTGCAAGAGTGGTCTGATGTAGAAGGGACAACCAAATTGCCATGGGTTCCAGGATAGGGAGGGGGATTCCTCAGACGATCAATTCCCCTGCACTGAGAGAGCATCAAGAACCCCTCCCCTGCCTGATAGACTGGAATGTCGTAAAACTTTCCACATCTGTGGGTGAAAGGGTTTTCCGGACTCCAGCGCTGGGCTGAAAATCCACCACACCAGGGAGAGTCTGGTCTTGAAGGTCAGACGCATGGGATGGTCCAAGGACCGAGATAGTTTGTCCCACACTGTCAGAATGTGGAGTTGCAACAGTCTGGAGTAAAACTGGTTATACTGCACTGCCTCAAAGGAGGCTAACCATCAGGCTCAAGATACACATACAGGTATGAATCGGCAGCAAACCCTGGCATGGGAATGTGAGGGACAGAAGCTTGTTCCAGGGCAGAAAGATACTGGATGGGGCTGTATCCACTGTCAGGCTCATGAATTCTAATCGGAGAGTTGTTTTCAGCAAGCACTTCTGAAGGCTGAGGATTCCACTGAATCTCTGCAGTCTGAACTCTCCGATGAAAAAGAACTATCCATTTAGCAGGTGATCATCCAGGTTGACCCAAAACATCCCTAAGAATGGAGCAGAGCTAGGACTGGTAAAAGCACAGTGGTGTAAATCTGTTGCGCAAACAGGTCAAAAGCAAAGACCGGTAAATTAGTTCTGATGAGTGCCCACAGCAAGAGGCAGATAGCAATAGTGAGTAGGAAAAAGAGGATCATCCCAGTAGGCATTCTGGATGTCTACTGAGGCCACAAAGTTGCCTTGATGGAGGAAGAAAATTAGCAACTTGGCTGATTCCAATGCGGAACATCTGAACCCGCAGGTACAATGGGCCAAACCTCTCCATTTTGCTTCAGAACTGTCAACAGGTTTGAGTGGAAATCCTGAAAGTGTTCTTAATTCAGGACTGTTGTAATGACCCCCCTGAGAGAAAGCTGCTGAACAGTAGCAAGAAGATCTGCCTTTGCTGAAAGGGAGGCAAATTTGAGAGGCAGAATCCGAAACTCCATTGATATTGGACTCTGGACCCAAAGATTGGAGACAGACATCCTTCCACTTTGACAAGTGGGGGTGGCCCATCATTGAGAAGAGAAGCACCCTTGTGGTTGTCAGAAAAGGGGGCTTGAATCAGAGGAGAAAAGCCAAATAAAGAAAAAACACAAGGGCCTGATGGCTTACGCCCTCTAGTTCTTAAGGAGCTTGGCTCAGAGGTAGCCAATTCACTCTTCCTGGGTTTTAAAGACTCCTTAACCCCTTGTCTACCTGTGTTTGTAATCGTCCTGGTAGCCAAGGTGTTAAAGCCAGCCCACTTCTGCAGCTGCGAGCTTACCTTAACAGCTTGATTTTTTTTCAGGCAATGCTTGGCTTTCATATAAAAGTGATCGGGCAGCTGTAGAGTGGTAACATCCCCATTAATCCAATGTCCCATGACAGGTGGGCAAAATTTTATCTGAAATTGTAGAGGAGGTTCTTTACGGTCAGTCAACAAGAATGTGAAAGTCCTTTCTCAAGAAGTTGGTGTCAGCTTTGTGTATTGTCAAATTCAAAAGAAATTTTGATGTCTTCCTTGATGAGCACATCATACAGCTATACATATATGCATAGAATAGAAGACTAAATTGACATACATAGGTTGGAATGAATGAACCTATGTCTCTTTCCTTCATTTACCTACCATGTACCTATGAGCCAGATTTCGCTGGCTTGGTGGTCCACGTTTTCCAAAAGTGTGTTCTGCAAACTTAGTCTTGGAAGTGGAGGCCTGAAGGACAAAAAAGGAATTTTTTCTATTCTCAGGAGTAGAAGGTCTACTTGCAAAAGCCTTCTACCTTCTTTTTTTTGGGGAGGGAGAGCCCTCCTACCTCCCCAAGATCTCCTTGATGTACTGGTCCAAGTACAGAGACCAAAAGGGCATCTTTTCCCTCTCAAAGTATAACTGTGTTTCTTGCATGGGTGCTCTGATGACCAGAATTTGAGCCAAAGGATCCTTAACATACAGATGAAGAGGTCGCTCATCCCAGACATCTGGCGAAGTGTATTTGCCACAGGTAAAAGCTCTAGGTGGTGGTGAATAGAGGGATCTATGTTTTGAGCATATTCTAGATGGCAGGGGCCTGATAAATGGACATGGTTGCATGGCGGAGTCCTCCAAGGAAAACAGGAAAAAATAGTGTCTGTGTCCACCACATGGATCACCCATTTCTGCAGGAAACCCTCCTCAATAGGATATTACAAAATGTATGGTGGGGCAAAGTGTTTTTCAGTGTGCAGCAAGTGACCATATAAGACAGGCTATATGAGCAAGTGGACTGGGAAGGTCTTAGCAGGTTTGGGCAATTTTAGGGTATCCATGCTGGAGACCTTAGGCTCAGATTCAGGAAACTCTTATGCTAAACACAAATGTTGAGTGCCCATAAGTGTAGGAATATTATTATTAGGATTGGATGAAATCTCACTGAAGGCGTCTCATCCTGATCTGTTTAGAAGAAGTGGGGCCTTACTTGCATAACTACTCTTGAGGCAGCCTAATAGCAGAACAAGCAAGGTGGGGGCCTTCCTTGCCTAAAAAAAGATCTTGCCCATGAATCAGACATGGCAACAGAAAATGCACGAAAAGGAGCCATGAACTGAGCTTGTCTCTAAGCTTGTGATCTGTCATATATGGTGCAAAGTGTCCCCAAAGGGATATTAACAACCTTCACTGCTGTGGAGAACAAAGGGTGAAACCTTCTGTTCTGTGGTGTTATAAGCTGATAAATCCAGAAAGCATTCAGTGCTGTGCTAGAATGTGGGAGGCAAGGGACAGCTGAAAAACGTATGCAAAGAGGAAGAAAAGTGGCATGTGCATGCCAGTGAAGCCACTGAAGATGAAGCTGCCAAGGATCAGGACCCAATCACCTGAACGTAGATGCATATAACCCATGGTTAATACCTAAAAAAATGGGTCCTTTATTGTACGACGATTAGCACTGGATTTTTGATTTCCCATTAAAATCTATTTCTTGGAGTACAGCACAGAACACAGGTCCCTCCCATCTGTTCTTCCTAGGTCTGTTAGCTCAGTTTATTTAGCAAATCATATTATATGAATACATTACATGTGTGCCCATGAACTGTATGACAAGGATCTGTGTTTAGAAACTCTGTTCACCACTGTCTACATCTAAACTGGCTGTCATTTTTACATCTCATTCTGCAAATGCTTTGTGAATGGAAGTACTGGTTCTCCAGAGTTTCAAAGAGTAGCCTGAGAATTAGTATTTTCAGAAGAAGGTCAGTCACAGATGCCTCATATACCTCAAGAAAGGTTTACTTTAGCAGGGCCGACACAAAATAATTCTAGGCACCTAGTTTAGAAGACCAGGTTGGGAAACTGACAAAACTGCGAAAAACAATATTTTATATCTGAAATTCAACTAGATCTGCCTTTTATGCTTTAAAAAAAATAAAACAAATACCTGTGGTACAATGCCTTTGACTAGGAGGCTGGGGCTTAAAGGAAGACAGCATGATTCATTCAGAGTAAAGAATTGTTTGACATCTTCCAGGCCATTCTTAAGTATTTCCTATGCAAGAAAAACACCCAGAAAGATATTTCAAGTCTGTGAATATAAAGCATAGTACAAAGCAGCAGTTAATCAAATTCAACTGGACTTGTTCTGTAATATGGATGGACTAATTTTGCTACTCATCAAAGTTGTTTTTCTAATGAGTGTCCTTAAAGTGATTGTAAAGTTATTTTTTTTTTTAAAATAACAAACATAATATACTTACCTGCTCTGTGTAATGATTTTGCATAGAGGAGCTTCCTTTTTCTTGGATCTAACACTGGCACTCTCAGCTCCTTCTCTTCTCTGTGTGCCACTGTAGGAAGCTTCTTCATATGGTGGCACATGTACAGGCTCAATCCCAAGCCAGGCTGTGTGCATCTATTGACACACACAGTGCAGCTTTGTTGTCACTGGATTTCATTGACAGCAGTAGCCAATGGTTCCCAATGCTGCCTCCATGTTCAGTGAGGGGAGAGAGAGATAGAGCAGTGCCCCTGCTCCCAGGCACGATGCCGGACTGAGATCAGGCTCTAAATATTTAGAGGTGGGCGGGGGGGGGGGGGGGGGTTGGAGTTGAACACAAGTTTTGTTTTTACCTGAACGCATTCTTTACATTATGCCTTTACAACCACTTTAATTGAAGAATCTATTTGGATTAGTAGAAAAATATCCTTCAACATTACGACACAAGTACAGCTGAATGTGTCTATTATGAGCTATCTTTTACTAAAATACATTGGTATAAACAAATGGCCATGAAGCACCTAATCAATTCTACAGTTTCACAATAATCACTGTCAGTATTAGCAAAGCATGGATAAAATAGTCAACAAGCGAAGTACGCATATAATAACTGATAAGACAGTATAACCATACAGGTTATGGTGCAAAAAGGATTGAAGCAATTTAAAAATCCATTTTAATTAGTGTAGCACAGTAAAGCATTCTTAAAACAGAAAGTATTCACAAATTCCATAAACGAGAATTATTCCTCATCGAGACTGAGCCATGAAAATCATTGCTTTTCGCCCCTCTGGCCAGATGTACATCCAGAAAAACTGGTGTATAGTGCAAATATAGCCCAATATCCAAACTATATACAGTTGTTTTAGACATCATCACTGCAGTGTATGAAAACCAAGGCATGAATGCAGTAACACTAAGTTAGCTATAATATACCCTTGTGATTTATTAACCCTTGCTGTATCAAACATGACAACATATTTCACAAAGGGGTAGTTTTACTAAAACTGGTACATACAGAATCTGGTGCAGGTGTGCATAGTAACAAATCAGCTTCTGGGTTTTATGTCAAAGCTTAACTGAACAAGCTGAAGTTAGAAGCTTGGTTACTGTGCCCAGCTGCACCAGATTCTGGGTTTACCAGTTTTAGTAAATCTTTCCCAATGATTAGTTTTACAAATGCTATTTTCTGCACTTTCGGAGAAAATTTTGAATTGTCACTGGAACATGAATAGAGAGAAAAGACAACTGCATCACTGGAGAATTTCCTTTCGCATCCTGTTGTATCTGCAGGACAATATGTGAAGGGAGATCTCCCTAGTGGAACACAGATTGGAAAAAGGAAAAAAAAAAAACCTTGACAAGGAAACGGATCTCCTGTTGCAATCAAAGCACTATTATGCAAATTTAGTTTTGTCTATTGCCAAATTCTTTATAGGTAAATATATCACTGTATGTAACTGAGAATACACATGAAAAAGTAAAGCCAACATTTGCATACAGGGAATATACTTTTCTATAGATGCTGATTTAAAGCCTTGGTTTCTATGTGATGAGGCACTTGTGTGTGCTCTTGAAGTTAGATCTGGAACAACCCCACCTTCCCAAAGAAATGAAACAAGAAATGAAATGTGTTATGTAGCTATATAAAAGAAGGAAAACAAAAAAGTATTTACCACTCTGGCAGATGGAACACCATCTCTGACTTTCTGAGCCAACCTTGTTAATATGTTAACAAGCCAGCACTGGCGATCAAACTCTTCTCTTAGCCCTTTCCCACAACAACAAAGGAGAGCAGCAAGCAGGTACTGATATCGAATGCTGAACTGAGAATCCTTCAAACAGTCCTTTAGCAGCCTGTGTATCACAAATTACAAAATATATGCAAATCATAATTGCGGTATTTCATTATATTGACAGCAAAGCATAAGCGATCATGTGCGAATTACAATTCTTTCATTTCAAAACTTGTCTGTAAAAATGTATTGGGTGATTTCACATCAAGGGGAGCACTTTCAAGGACTCCACACACTTGTAAACTTAAGGGCTTTTCTGCCCACTTTTATTCAGCATAAATTTCTTTACAGCAGGTTACCCACACAGGGGTTTCAGTCCCATATTGATACATCATTCAGCCTGCTGGCTAACTTTGGTCCACTCAAGTCAGTCTCCCTTCAACAGACACATGTAACGTCACTTTTTGGCTACTAAATTGAGTAGTTTGGGCTGTACAGACTCTCTGCCTCTTGTAACATGTCTCTGCCTGTACTAGACAGAATCCAGCACTCATCTAAGACCAGACAGCCAGCACGCAGACACACAAAGCCGTTTTCTGCAGCAGGATGGCCAGCCCAATTCCCTAGTTGACAATAAGGAATCGTGCACACAGGGCTTTTGCTTTGCTCTTGTGAAGGCCAGAACTCCTGGCAGGAGGAAAGCTGCTTAATAAAACACACCTAAAGATGCCTATTGCACACGTTTTGGCACATTTAAGTGTGTTTAGGCATGTTAGGCATTTGAGTGTTAATGGATTCTATTGGCCAGATAATTTATTTATAATGCATCTACCACTAAGGCTCAGTAACATGAGTTTAGGTGTGTTCAGCATTTTTTCTGCTCTTCAGCTCCTTTCCTGAATGCACTTATTTTGGGCTTCATACACACTGGGCATTAAAATGCTTCTTATACAGATGTGTGGCACTTTTTTCTTTAAGCCCATAGAAACAAATTATTTAGCCTATGTGTCTATGCACATTTGGGTGTTTACAAGCATATTTGAAGAGGAGCACTTACAGGCTGAAAAAAACCATCACAAGTAAGTTTTTTAAGAGGAGCATTCAGGCAGAAATGTGGAGTTTAGGTGCATTTGGCATTTTCAAGTATAAAGAGATTATAGTGAAAAACAACAACATAAACGAATGTGCAATATGAGCCATATTGTTGTTTCTTTTTATGCTGATTTCTTTTGCCAGAGGTTCTGGCATTTTTTTTCAGTCACCTAATATGGATGGACCCTTGTTGAATTCTGTTAAGCCTGGGAACACTCCTTTTCCAATATGCCTGTAATCGCCTATGTGTGCATGGACACAGAGTAAAGGAGGTGAATTTACAAAAAAGCCTGTAAAAGCAAAATTTTTTTTAAAGCCCAATGTGTCTACAACAGTGCATGAGGCATAAGGCATCATGCACACTTGTCGTTTTTACAGTCGCTTTTAGGGGCACCTGGCATGTTTTTTTCCTGCCACTAAACTCCCCTGCATGTTAGTCTGTGTCCATGCACATACAATTTAGAAGGTTTTAGAGGCAGGAAAAAAAATCCTACTGTTAGTTTCTCCAGGAGCAGGAGAGTTTAGCAGAAAAAATGACTGATGCTTCTAAACACGGTAACGCTAGGTGCATTTAGCGCTTGAACGTTAATTCATTTTAAGGCCAGCATAAATTGTTTATTTTGGCCAATGAAAGGAATTAACACCCAAACGGCTGACGTGCCTAAATACGTTACACACGTTTACAAGCGGCGGGTGTTTTGTTCTGCCACAACTCTGCAAGAGAGTTAGGAAAATGTCCTGAGAGCATAAGGCCTTTACCGCATCATGTTCTTGTGTGAATTGACCCTTAATAATGCAAGAAATTGCAGTAGCCTTGTCACTTCCTGTAATCTTCATTAAAGAATATATTTCTTGCTAGCCTATTTTCCGTAAGCTACCTATGATGTAAGTGACATGCTGTGTTATTATGCTCCATCCTTTAGTAGTATTGAATGTATGACTTTAATATTTCACACACAGGCATGGAATCTTCCTACTCTATTTCTCATTACCTTCTTGCTGTCCATGTTTTGATAGATCCCTATTAGGGGCCTTGAAAGATACTATTCAAGATTAGATGGTATCTTAGTTCTACAGAGCACTGTTTGATTTCCAGGTAGAAATTTAAGTTACAAAAGCACATCGACAATTTACTTTTTTATTACTTCTCTTTTGTCAGAGTCTATTCATCTTATTTCTTTCCATTTTTATTTGAAAACTTCATTCTTTATTTGGAATCCCTTTTTTTATTCCAATAAAGCAGATATCTAGAATTTATTCTACTTATTCACCACATTCTTATTCTCATCACCTTTTTGTTTTCCTCAGACATAGCGAGCAATAGGTTTGTTTCCATTTCATGGGCATAAGACACAAAAATCAAACCGTAACCTAAGCCAATAGTTTACTTTTCTGTGCCTCTCCTTTCCCCATTTTCTACTGTTTCCATTCTTTTGAAAATTCTTCTTAACTACACTCACCATATTTTCACCATTCATGCTTACCTTTTTTTCTTTCCTTTCCACACTCTCCCCTCTGTATACGCACCCCAGGTTCTTATCCCACTTAAGCTGGTCATACATGGATAAGAAATTTGGCAGATTCAGCAGCCCTTATTCAGCAAAAATACACACTCTGATTCAACTTCTGATCTCTCAATTACAGTATGCACTACACACTTGCAGATCTGTTTTTCTTATTGTTTGTGATTCACTTTCATGATGTTTTGCTTGTCATTAATTGTGATACTCACTACTTCAATGTTTGTAGCCGCCAATGTTCTCCTTTTAGCCTAAGTTCACACTGATGCAGTGAATTTTTAATCCTGTTTCAAGTGCGATTTCAAGGGGCAGCTGTCCTGCAAGTTGATGCAGTTCACAGGCGATTTTGAGTGAGATGCAGGGTTACTACTGTGATTCATCCCTTCTGTCAGCAGCAGGGATGAGTCATCAGTTGTTAACCGCTTAAGGTCTGCCCTATAGCAGGAATACTGCTAAAGGGCGGACTCCCTGCGTGTGTGTGTGTATATATATATATATATATATATATATATATATATATATATATATATATATATACATACACACATACACACACACACACACACACATATACCCACACAATTTGTGCTCCTGCCATGATAGTGTGCCTGCTACCCCACCAGTGCCGTGATTCGGTGCCCGACCAATCAATCAACAGATTCAGGCCAGGCCAGTGATGTTCGGCCTGGATCTGCTAATTGATCCCTGGCCTATCACACATCATTCCTGTACCCGTGTCTACATTTACACAGGTACAGGAAATGATGCAATCTTCTCTCTCTGGGCACATTCTGTCCCAGAGAAAAGAAAGCAGATCAAAGTGAGTAAAACCAGCACACTTTTACAGTAAAAACACATATCAGTCACATTTAATCCCCAGATCGCCCCCAGTTAACCCTGTCACTGCTCTGTCACGATTGTCATTAGTACAGCGTACAGATTTTTTTTTTCTGATCACTGTATTAGTGTCACCGGCGACTTCAGATAGCACTAGCGTCAGTTAGCGTCCCTCCCAGATAGCGTCAGATTGCCCACCACTGCACATTTCACATTTAACCCCTTGATTGCCAGGAACACGCTCACATACACAATAAATCTCCATTGCTAGAATAGTGTCTGAACAGATCAATATCTTAGGTCAGATCAGCACTATATCAGCATTTACATTAGTATAGTGTCCCCAAAAATGCAGCATTAGCAGGATCAGCCCTGGAACCTGCCCGCACCTGCGTTTAGCCCCTACGTGCTTACCCCCCCCCCCCCCCCCCCCCCCTTTCTCTCCTAGCAAGTGCAGTGTCAGTAGATCACTGTCACTTGATACATTGCACACAAAACCGCAGTGTTTTCAGAATCAGGCCAGATCTCTGTTAGCACTTGCAGGTAAATTTTTTTGTAGCGGTTCAAGCAGTCACTGACAACCAGGTGCTCTTTTTCCCTGTAAGTCGCACTAGGTACCTATAAATTTAGTGGTCAAAATGTCCAACAAAAGGTACTCTAGTGAAAAGGGCCTACAGGGTTCTAAGCATGTCAGATGAGAGCGAAGGGGAAGCCTCACTGACAGAATCTGCCTCAGAATACGAACCTGTAGACAGCAGCAGCACCCTGACAGATAGTTCAAACGATAGAGAAGAGGTTCCTGCTAAGGTCAGGCGTACCCGACCCTGTTCCTAGGTTGCTGAGATGTTACAATTGCATGATGATTCTCATATACAGCAGAATGCCAGTACTAGTGCCGCTCTAGCTTTTGGTGAACTGGCGAGCACCAGCAGCCTAGTACATCCTGGTCTTATACATACCAGCACTGCAGTATCACTTGGTGACATGGCGAGTCCCATAAGTGCAGTATAAGCTGGTGCGATGGCTAACACAAGTAGTGTCCCACAGCCACCAAGAATTCGCACACAGGCCCATAGAGCCCATATTGTCCTTCCGGATGTGCTTGCAAATCCCGATTGGAAGCCCAAAAATTCTGCAGCACCCGTATTTCCTCCATTCACTGCCCATCCCGGAATTGAGGTGGAAACAGCAAATGTAACTACCCCCCTTTATTTTTTTGGAGCTGTTTTTCACAGAAGATCTATATGCATTGATTGTGGATCAAAGCAATTTATATACACAACAGTTTATTGCCGCCAACCCAAATTCAAACCTTGCCAGACCATTTGCATGGAAACCTATTATGGTTTCCGAATTTAAAGTTTTTTTTGGGCCTAACCCTCAACATGGGCATTACTAAAAGAAGAAAAAAAAAAAAGTTTGGTTGTATTGGTCCACAGACCCAATTCCCCATATGCCCGTGTTCTCTGCTGCCATGGCCAGCCATAGATATGAGAATTTAATGTGATTTATTCATTTCAACAAAAATGAACTCTGTCGTCCTCAGGGTGACCCTGAATTTGATTGGCTTAAAAAAAATTGGCCCCTCATAAATCACCTTAACCAAAAATTTGCAATGTCTATACTCCCCAACAAAACATCTGTGTTGATGAGTCCCTCAATAATTTTTCTG